ATGTCAGAAAAATACTAATATGTACGTGGCTCTAGTACCAGAAACACCTTTTAATCCTGAACAAAATACCAAGGCTTTTTGTCATCAGCTGTAAAACTCTCTTATAGGACGGAAGTGAAGATTGAGATAATATAAATGAAAAGTCTATACTTTCCATCCTTAAGAAAGTAATTTAAAGCAATTGTCTCTAAACATTATTATTACTGGTACTGGGAATTGAACCCAGAGCTTTGTACTGAGCTACATCCCCTGCTTGAAAGGGTGTCCCTAACTTGTCCAAGCTGGTCTCAAACTTGTGATTTTCCTGCCTCAGCCTCCTGAGTAACTGGGATTACAAGGGTCCACCATGGTGCCCCAACTTAGACTCATATTTTTAAGCATTAAAGTCTGAAATTATTTGGCTGACCTCTCAGATCTGATTAGATCACTGCTGTTTCAACCTTATATGGGCAGAGATTATTCTCTGAAAAGATTTGTTCTTTGATGTCTGCATCGTAACTACTTTTTTTTTCTTTTTTTTTGGTCTTTTTGAGACTGGGTCTCGCTATGTAGTTCAGGCTGGCCTTGAGCTCACTTTGTAGCTCAGGCTGGTCTCAAACTCACAACGATCCCCCTGCCTCAGCCTCCTGAGTGCTGGAATTACAGGCATGTGCCACCATGCCTGGCCATAACTATTTTTTAATCCTTAGATTCCTTGAAAGACTGTTTTAAAAAGGCACATGTCAAGGGCCAGGGATATAGTTCAGTGGCACAGGCACCTGCCTGGCAAGCGCAAGGTCCTGAGTTTGATGCCTGGTACCAAAAATAAAAAGTAAAAAAAAATAAAAAAGCCACATGTGTATTTTATGACTAATGTAGTTAAGAGTATGATGTATAAATTTTTCTCACTGGCACATACTGCATGTGGCTTTCAGAGAATATGGAGCCCTAATGTCAGAGTCTCTGCCCAGGAGATGTGTCTCCAGAGATAGGACCACGGTGCCAGTGTCAGTATTGAATAGTCAGGTTATATTCTTGCATTTTTTTGAAGAGAGAGTCTCCTATGTTGCCAGGCTAGCCTTGTATTCTTGGGCTCACTTGATCCTCCTGCCTCAGCCTCCTGAGTAGCTGGGAGTACAACTGCCAAGATACGTGGTTCTTGCTTTTTAAAGATAATTTTAAAAGAGGAGCTTCATATATTGGTTCTGGTCACCCGAAGGTGCTGCATGTTGGAGCTGGGTAGCCGGAGAAGGCTTTGGTAGGAGCAGATGTTTACTGCCTGTGTGCAGCAGCCTGGCAGGATACGGGTTGATCGTAAAAATCTGTTAAGAGGGTTTTGCTGCATGTATCGGGTTCACAGCTTTATCTTTGAGTGTCTTTTTACTTGTGGGTTTTTTATTATTTCCCCAGTATAAAAACAGGAAATCAGAGATATTTAGGGCTAGGCGGGTGATTTAGCGCTGGGAGATGATATAATTCAGTTCTCTCCATTTCTAGGTTAGGGAACTGAGGCCCAGGGTCATGAAGCTAGTGAATGGAAGAACTGGGACTCTTGGAACCTTTCCTAAATTATCCTGCTACTGAGCATAGAGCATTCACCTCTGTGGTCCTCCCACCCCTATACCTTTTAAAATACGCCCTTCAAAGGGGATGGTATTGACACTTACATAATTAGAGTTTGTTTGTACTTGCTAACCTATTCCCTGGTTGTTACTTTAAGCTTGCAGCCTGTCTCTATGTTCAGATATTGAGGAAATTAAGTTTAACTTGATAAACCTGTTGCTTACTCTTCTTTTTGCGTTTTCAGGAAACCTGAAGGTTTTTCGTGATGATGGTGTGTTCTGGGTGACTTTCTCTTGCATCGCTATCTTCATTCCAGTGGTTTTCTTGGGCTGCCTAAGAATAGTAAGTGTTTCATGACAAGTTAAGTTGACTCACTGCACTGTCCTGGACCTTCAGCTGATTGCTCAGCGCCTTGTTCTGTGTGTTTTATTCACTAGAGAGGGCTGTGGGATTAACTGCACCAGGGTGGCTGCTTCTGCATAACTTTGTTGCTCTGTGAAGGCACTGGGGTTCTGCAGAAGATGAGCACCCAGCATCCCTCGTCCCAAAACAAAGCATCACCTCTCCTAGTTCAGCAGCAGGAGCACAGAAGGTGGTCCTAAGTCCTGCGCACCAATCTCAGGGAGCATTAGCACTAGCTGTCTCTCCAGCATGGGTCTGCATATAATAAGATTTTAGTGTTGAAGTTCTTTCACAGGCAGGATTATTTTCAGTGGCCCAGTATAATCATGCATTGCTCAGCAGCAGGGCTACTTTCTGAGGAGGGCATCGAGAGCATAGTGCAAGCATAGAGAGGACTTACACAAAGAGGGCTACAGTGTTACAAGGTGCTCTATATAACCTTACAGGACTGTCATATCTTCTGTCATTCACTGAAACATCCTTCTTGCAGTATAGAAGTTATAGTAAGCGGATAAACTCTGTTTTAAGAACTCCCCATGGATGTGAAGTTTGAAGGTTTTAGTTTATCTTGTGTCAGGTCGCCCTTGTTAGCTCTAAGACATGGCCCCTTTTCACGTGCCCTGCGGGATCGGAAGTGATTCCCTGCGGTTGAGGCCGGTGGTAAGTTCTGTTCCACCGGGAATGATGTCTCAGGCTCGCCCTTCTCCCACAGCTGAACATCCTGACCTGCGGGGTCGTTGGCTCCTACTCGGTGGTTTTGGCTGTTGACAGTTACATGTACACAAGCCTTGCCTACATCACTCTGAACGTTCTCAGGAGAGCACTCAACACAGATTTCCGCAGAGCTTTCACAAATGTGCCTTCTCAAACTAATGGTAAGACTCTTACGCTCAAAAACCAGGTAATGGTTGAATAGGAGTATTGACTTTTCCATGCTAACAAGAGTACTCAAAAAAAAAAAAAAGAAAGAAAGAAAGAAAGAAAGAGGCGGGTGACTTGGAAGGGAGGAGACACTCTACAAATGCAGCGAGAGTGATCTGTTCATAACAAGCCTGTGGGAGCTAAGAATGTCAATTTTTAAGATTCACACTTTTAAAAACCTGTTAAATGAGGTTGGTTAAGAAATTTCTAAGCCTGGATTACCTTGGTTGGCAAGTCAGTTCTCAAAGGGGAAAAAACTAAATGACAGTAAAGATGTTTGACATTCCACAGCTGGGGGAGGAGTAAAGGACTGAGGGATGAGAATGAGCCCCTGATTTAATTTTTAAGTCATTTAAATTCATATGAGGGCCAGGGATATAGCTCAGCGGCGCAGCACCTGCCTGGCAAGTGCGAGGTCATGAGTTCGATTCCTGGTACCACCCCCCACCAAATCATGAGTCTTGTTTCCCTTTTTTAATGAAGCAGGCCATTTGGTATTTGAAAGTGAAAGTAATTTTAAATTAGTCTCACTTCCTCTGTTGTAAGATTTTACGCATTAAAGATTTTCCATTGACTTTTTTTTTTGTCTTTTTGAGACAGGGTCTCCCTATGCAATTCAGGCTGGCCTTGAGCCTAGGCTAGTCTCGAACTCACAGTGATCCTCCTGCCTCAGCCTCCTGAGTGCTGGGATTACAAGCGTGTGCCACAATGCCCAGCCCCCATTGACTTTTTGTTTGTTTGGGTTTTTTTTTGTTTTTTTCTGGTACCAGGAACCGAACTCACGACCTTGCACTTGCCAGGCAGGTGCTGTGCCACTGAGCTAAATCCCCACGCCCCCCATTGACTTTTTAAGGGGAGAAAAAAGTGACCACCATGTAAAATGTTCACAAAGTTTGTAAATTATGTAAATTATTTTTGTACAGAAATGTTAAGACAGGAAGGGTGGAAAAGCATGTCTTAGGATTCAGACCAGAGTAGGCGCAACTGTGCTTGCAAAGGGCAAAGTTTTTTCTTTGGATAAGAGGATGATGGTGGAGACCCTGAAATTCATGTGCCTTGGAATTTTTAAGTGCAAGCCAAACATTTATTAGAAACTCAGGACAGACTGTGGAACTTACGCGTGCATCCCCAAGTCCTCTGTATGTGAGTGAGGTTGGGCCCCTCGGAGAATGGGGTGGGGAGGAAGTGAGCACAGCAAGCTCTAGTTTCCCACGATGTACAAATGTCACCATGTTCTTCCACAAGTACCCAACAACTGCCTAAGAGCACGGGTCTCCCAAGCTTAGGATGCCACGGATCCAGACAATCGATTCTTTAATGACTGGTTTGGACTACTGGATGCCTGTAACAGAAAATTTTGTTTCAAAAATAAGACTGCAGCTTTCCCCCTCATTCCTTGGTTGTGTATGTTAGGTTGCAAAACACGCAAGTTTAAATGACTCTTCTACGCTGTTTTTTAGACTTTATTATCCTGGCAGTATGGGGGATGCTGGCTGTAAGTGGAATTACATTACAGATACGAAGAGAAAGAGGGCGACCGCTTTTCCCGCCTCACCCGTACAAGTTGTGGAAGCAAGAGAGAGAGCGCCGAATAACGAACATTCTGGATCCCAGCTACCACATCCCTCCTTTGAGAGAAAGGCTCTATGGCAGATTAACCCAGATCAAAGACCTCTTCCAGAAGGAGCAGCCTGCAGGAGAGAGGACACCCCTGCTTCTGTAGAGGGCTGTGGGCTTGGTCAGGGAAGCTCAGCTCTGGAGTTCATGCCCACATGCAATCCTAACGTGGTCCAGCTCGGCATGATATTATGGTGTCCTTAGTGATTTATGGTGATATATTAATATATGCCTAATACACTGGGCAGTTAGGATGATTTTTAGTCGGTGAGGGAGAAAGACGACCAAAAAGTTGGTGGTAGGGAGGCTTTTCCTTATGCCAATTACTGAAGAAATTATCTTTTGGTTTATAAATATATGAACAATATATTCCACTAAGTACAGCAAAAGTTCAAAAATGAAAAACAGTGGTTCCTCCCCTGGTGTTTCTAAGTCTGAATAAGTCCCTCCTCTGACTCCGTCTAAACTTGGGGAGGGGGAGGTATTTAAGTATTATACTGGATATTAGCCTGTTTGCAGACGTAGGGATTTATTTGGAGCCCTTGAATGTCAGAACATAAAAAGAGAAGTAACTTTTTATATATAAGTAATCTGATTACTTGGTTGCATGTTCTCTTAATCAACAAGGTACCTTTGTTTCAATATTTAAAATTTTTTAATTGGGTAAAATACACATTAAACTTAACAATTTATTTTTAATGTACAATTCAGTGGGATCCCTTTGTTTTTGCCTTTCATTGCTTAAAATGCTAACTTTTCAAGTGGTTAAATCCCTTCAGTTATTTGAAAACAGGTCAAGTCTACATAGATAATAGAATGTTTATGTAGATAATTTATTTCTATTCCAAATAATGGGCTTGTTTTGTTTTTTTTTTTCCAAGGTCTTTTAAGATAGTGTTTAAACTGCATTAGGTGACATGGATTGTTTCATTTCTAGGAACTAAGTTGACCCCCCAGCCTTAATGTATAGTGCCATTAACAACCTTAAAAAAATTCACACTTCATCCTTCTTTTTGCTAGAGTAACTGTGTCAGCATTAATGGAGTTTTAATGACTGCTTTCCTGTCATTCAAACCTGCACCCTGCGTTTTGAAGGGATGAGGACATGAGGACGCAGTCTTCATGGATATTGGGCATGGCCTGCTTTTTTTGTTTTTGTTTTTGTTTTTCTTCTGGTACCAGGCATTGAACTCACGACCTTGCGCTTGCCAGGCAGGCGCTGTGCCGCTGAGCTAAATCCCCAGCCCCAAGCATGGCCTGCTTTTAAATCAGGGCCAGTTTGGATTCTTCTGTAAGGAGGGTCCCCTCTGTTTAATATCCTTGTTTCATCGCAAGAAAGACCCTGGCAGCCCCGGGATACATTCCTTCAGCTCACTGCTCTTTCTTACCTGAGAGACCACTGGATTGGAAGCCACTTCCTCCAGGCTGGGGTGGTTTGTGACCATAGCACATACGTCTGTGAGGTAACCACTACTTAAGTGATGCTGCTTTTCAAGGGTTTCTTCAAAGTACAAAAGATCATCGAAGTTTCACGTACCTGGAGAAATCTTTAACTTTGGCTTTTAAAAGTGTTTTGAGGAGGACAGAACAAAATAAGAGAAACTAGAAAATGAACTGTTTTTGCTTTGAAAAATTCAGCGCAGGTATCTACTTATTACTCTGTAATTGTTTATAATTTAAACTTGACCCAAAAAATCTGATTAAAATATGCACTATAGGGATTCTGGTTTCTACCATGTCTTTGTACATTCTAAAAACATTTAATGGGATGTTTGTGAGTTATTCCCTGTACCATCAGAATTTCTGTACTGCCTCTCGACTGTGAAAGGCAGAACACACTTTTTTGGAGGGAGGATGCAAATTATTTAAAAACTTTCCCTATGATTTGTAATTTAAAAAGTCACTTTGTATAATTTTATAATAAATACCTATTTTCAAAAAAGTGCTAAAAAGCCTCTTGATTATGGTAGTATCATAAAAATTACTACTATTTGTGCCATAGCAATAATACATGAGAGAAAAGTTTCACAGCTATAGAAACAAAACTGTCTAATCTGGACAGGTTAGTTATTTATTGTAAAATATCAGCTTAAGAACAAGAAATGAAGGAAGCCTGGGGCAGGGTGTTCAAATTTATATTTGTTAGAAAGCTGATGACTTCTAGTGGACTAATTTGTGTTGGAGGTCATTAATACTTCAGGTGTGTCGAACTGCAGATAGTATTACAGAAAAACCTATTACACTATTCTTCAAATGTTTTCCAAAAGTTCTGATTAATCTGTTACAGGTTAGCTGTCAGGTTGCCAAAACTCACTATAATACTATCTGGAGATTTCTCTTTGGATAAGAGCGATAGTGGAGAGTTTTCTGTAGATAGAAAACTAATTCTAACAGGAAATTACTAGATTAGGCAAAAAAAGACTTTAGAGATCATGTTATCTGTCCCTTATATTTTTTTGGGTGATGTCTGACTTCCTATCAAAGCATGCTTTATACTCCCATCATGATGAAGATATGTCACTGATTATTTTTAACTTTCTTCTGCTGATGAATGGTAGAATATTGTTAATGTTACTCTTTATTTTGATCTCTCATTGGAAATTATTAATTTTACACAAACATGTTTTTCTGAGTTGCTCATTGAGGCATTAGACCCATTATTTATTTCAAATGATACACACATATTTAAAATCACTTAACACACCGGGCGTGGTGGCACATGCCTGTAATCCCAGCACTCAGGCGGCTGCGGCAGGAGGATCATTGCAAGTCTGAGGCCAGCCTGGGCTACAAAGTGAGCTCAAGGCCAGCCTGAACTGCACAGCGAGACCGTGTCTCAAAAAGACCAAAAAATAAATAAATAAAATAAAATCGCTAACACCAGAAATCTCTCCAGCAGCACTTGTGTAGAACTTTTCATTTTACAGTTCTCTCCTTGATCTCTGTAATACCCATTAGCAGCATTCATTAAAACCCAGTGTTCTTGGTGCTAATGTTCTGAGGACAGGGCCTTGCCCTGGAATCCAGCTCCCTGCATTGCGTCCCAGCCCATGTGGACAAAGTGGTTACCTATTTCCCTTTAAGTTGTGGATCAACTTGTGTGCTCCCCTCCCGTTTAGTGTTGAATCCCTAACTCCCCAGTACCTCAGAATGTGACTTTATTTGGAGATAAGGCCTTTAAAAAGCAATTAAATTGAGGCCATTAGCGTGGGCCCTAATCCAATCAGCCTGGTGTCCTTACACCAGGAGGAGACTAGTGGGCTGAGCGTGTGGCTGAGTGGTAGAGCACATGCTTTGCATGTGTGAGGCCCTGGGTTCCAGACTACGATGTGGGGTGCATTTGCTCAGAGGAAAGCCATGTCAGTAGAGCGACCATCTGCAAGAGCAAAGCCTGGGGAGAAACCAGTCCTGCCAGCACTGGACATGGACTTCCACCCTCCGTAACTGTGAAAAAATTGTTTCTGCTGCTGTTTTGTTACTGCAGCCCGTCTGGTTACAGTGCTACCTACTGCTATTTTCTGAAGGCACTGTTTGCTCTAAAACAGTGGGTTTCATGTTTTCTTTCTGCTTATTTGGGGAAAAAAAATTACAAGGGATGTCATTAACTTAAAAATCCCAGGGTAAGATTGAGGGTGGCACAAGCACAAGGTCCTAAGTTTGATTTCTGGTACCCCCCCAAAAAAAGAAAAAGACAAAAATCCAAGGTTAAGTACCAAGGTATACAGTAGGCTTCAATTGTGTGTACATACATATTTAAAAGCAACTCTTTTTAGATAGGCTTTCTCATTCAGAAGAGGCTTCTAAAGACCCCTGGGAAAACAGAGGTTATAGGAAGAGGCTGACTATCCTGAATTGTTTGTTTTTTAAATGTACAAATTACTTTTACTTAAAAGGTGATAAAGGTGAATGTGATATAACAAACTTCCAGGAATCATACACTAGAAATGACAATAACAAAGATAAGCCAGGCATAGTGGTGCACCCTGTAATCCCAGCCCTCAAGAGGCTGAGACAGGAGGATCGGTGCAAGTTTGAGACCAGCCTGGGCTACAAAGTGAGCTCAAGGCCAGCCTGAACTGCAGAGCTAGACCGTGTCTCAAAAAAAAGGTACATATATGCATGTCTACTGAGTATTATTTTGTTTAAAAATGTACAAACTGAATATCCAATGGGGAATCAGATGAATCAATTACAAGATATTTATAGAATGGTAGTTACAAGATGCTTTGGTTTACAGCAACAGTGAAACAGGAGAATTAGTCTGAAGTATACTGATATTGTTTATAGGTTTCCCATTATACATCTATGTAAATTACATAATTTGTATTTATGTAATTATGGTTTTAGCTTCTGCCAATGTTTTTCTTTCTATTGCTAGGATCTTTAAACCATAGTATGCAATAAACTACACTGACTAGATTTTGACCATTTACTTAACTGTTCTACCATAGGTTATTCAGGTTGAATCTTGACTCCTCTGACGTGGCTTGGACCAGGGGCCGCAGCACTGATGGAGAGAAAAAGTAGGCTCCTGATACATTCTGAAGGGTTGGCCAGCTGGATTTACTGATGAATTTCAGGCCAGATGTAAGAGAAAGTAGAGTCAGATGCCACTAGGGTTTTGGGTCTTGACAGCTGGAAAGATGCAGCTGTCAGGAACCAGGATGACGAAAGAGGCTGGAGAGGTTCTGGGAGTGACCCCTGAGAGTCTGGCTTTGGACATTTTAAGTTTGAACTGCCTCCCTGGCAGTCACAGCTGGACGAGTTTGAAGTTAATGGCAAGTCTGAGCTGGCGGTGTGAATCCAGGTGGTATTTAAAGTTCTAAGTCTGGGCAAGCTCACTGAGGAGTAGAAATACAGAACTCAGCAGGAGTAGATACTGCATCCAGTGGCTCTACAGGCCAGAGAGAAGACAGGAACAAAGGAGGCCGGAGACAGAGTAGCCAGTGAGAGAAAAGGAAAAGGAAGGTCCTCTCACATGCCAGTTGTAAATTATCTTCATCCATATTTAAAAAAGAATTTATTTTACTCTTAATCAAAAAAGCTAATAGTATTCACCCAAAATTAAGTTATGGATCTATGAGCCTGCATTTCTTCATTGAAACAGTTTAGAAATATAAAAATTTAGAATTTACTGTGATATAAAAGAATATCAAAGAGTGTAAATTTGAGCAGAAAGCATTTTATCTGTGAGGCTGAATATTACTAGTTTTTAGAACTGTAATCCCTGTATAAAACTTTGAAGAGGTTGACTGTTGATGAATAAATGATGTATTAGTTTCTTAGAGCTGCTGTAACAAACACCCACAGGCTAAGTGGCTTAAAATAACAGACATTTATTTTCTAACAGTTCTCAAGGCCATAATCTCAAATATAGTCTCCAGACTATAATCAAGCAGGCTTGATTCTTCTGGAGGCTCTGAGAGTGAATGCATTCCATGCCTCTCTCCCAGTCAGACAGTGGCTAAGAGTCCTTGATGTTGCTTGGCTTGTATAAATCTCTGTCTCGGTCTTCATGTGGCTTTTTCTCTGTGTTTCCAATCTTCCATTTATTCTTTTTGAGAGAGGGTCTCGCTATGCAGTTCAGGCTGGCCTTGAGCTCACTTTGTAGCCCAGGCTGGCCTTGAACTCACACTGATCCTTCTGCCTCAGCCTCCTGAGTGCTCGGATTACAGGCGTGTGCCATCATGCCCGACTCCTTCTTTGAATAAGGACACCAGTCACTGCATTTAGGGCCCAACCTAAATCCAAAGTGATCGTACCCTGAGATAATTACATCTGTAAAGACTCTTTATTTCCAGATATGGTCACATTCCCAGCTGTTTAGGATTTGGATTTACCTTTTGTGGGGACACTACTCATCCCCTATAGATAAGGTCTGCAAGGTCAGCAATAAGGAGCTGCTTACCTAGTCCTAAGAAGTAGAAACAGAACTTGCTGCTAAGCATTTGTATTGTGGTAAGGAATGACAAAAAGGCCTTAAAAATAAACTATGTGCAAGAAATGGACACATTATTTTCAAATTAAATTGGAAGCCATGCCAGTTTTAACCATTCATCTTTATTGATAAAATAGGCTCCTATGCCATTACACACTCTCAGACATAAATGTAAAATTCCATAGAACAAAAAAATGGAGGTGGAAAACTGTCCTAAAAACAAAGTGAATGTCTTTCAATACCCAAAACCTTAACATTTATCTAAGTAAGAAGACCAAGAATAAATTAACTTACTGGCTTACAAAAATAATCATTTATCAAATAATGTTTTATAATAGAGCTGCCTTGATGAATTGCCTCAGACTTAATCTCAACTGTGTAGCTTACTTTAATTCTTCCTTGGGATAAAAACTATTTGAATGAATATGCCATTTAATTAAGGGATACTTTCCTAAAAACTTATAGAAAAGTTTAAAAATAAAAAAATGTCATTTATTTATAAAATGTCAATTAAGGCCTCTGAATGAGAAAAGAAACCTAACGTTTGGGCTCTCAGCCCTTCTCTAATCAGCCCATCCACCCCAAACTTAAGATAGAAAATCTCTGAAGTGAAAAGTAGTTTTGAATTTTACCAATATATGAAATAATACATAAAAATTACCTCAAGTAGTAATATTTCTTTAACAAATTATATACTCAAAAGGAGAATTTTCTATTTGTGCTAATTTTAGTTAAGTATTTAATATAAATGAGTATAATATAATCATACTTTATACTCTTATCCTTTTATTCTGTACTCACTACGAAACAAGAAAACTTTAGGTCTTAATTGGTGTTAAAGCACATTTCTGTGTCTGGTAGCTTTCAAAAATTCATACACTATATATTTGATAGTTTTTTAAAAAACAAAAGAAAACAAATACTTGTAAATCCATAGATTTCCACTTTCCTTTCCAAATGAAAGGAAGAAAAATCTTACAGATTATGAGGACCAGATGAAGTTTAAAAATACATTCAGAATTTTTTTTCTGAAATTTGACTCTACTTTTTTGTATCTCAAGAGTAATTACTTAAGAAAAAGGGGGTGGTTCCATAAGCCAGAGGAATTCTGAATTTACCTTGAAAGTCACCACACTTAGCTTTCTATGTCAAACATTTCAACTGTTAGCTAAATTAACCACACAATATCTTTAAATAGGTGTAGACCAGAGGGGGAAAAAAAAAAATCTCATTTTCATAATGACTGGAAACCAAAACTTACTCTTTCAAAGAAGTAGTTAAACCTACCAAATATGTCTATTGTAAGATCTTCTTTCTTAGAAAGTAATTATTCCTTCTATCTCATTCCTGAAATGATGTTTCATACATTTAAGCATGTCACAGACAACTGATAGCTAAGAATTAATTACGGTAAATTAGCTAGAATTAATTACCTCTTGTTTGTGGTACATATGAAATATTCCTAGAGCCTTTAAACCTGAATTTTCTTGGACAAAAAAATTAATGAGAAAGTAGACAGGCAGTTACTTAAGTGGTAAGTCACATGGGGCATAAACAATTTGTTAATTCTGACACCAAACAGGAAGAATAAAATTCAGTATGTGGACCACAGCAAAAACTTGTATTTTAAAACTCGAATAACTCTATGAATTCACAAACATTTATTGGGACTATCTGAGTCTGCATCATCCAGAGAGCAAACAGCACTACTGAAAGCTTGGTATATTCAGGAGTCACTGTGAAAATCTTCCGTTTGTTACCAGTTAACAGTGGCCCAGTTTCTACATTTCCCTATTTTGGGATGAAGTTTACAACCTTAAATACACATTTCTTTTGCTATCTCTTAGCCATTGCACTATACATACTATAGAGGGAAAAAAAGTGTTGACTAAAACTGAATTTCCTGTTCATTCATTCACTTCTCAGCCAGTCCTGACGGCGGTGTGGACCCACGTACAAAGCCTCCAGAACTGGAACCCCTTCAGCTCTTTCTCAGACTCAGATCGCTATTGGTCACTAATGCAGACAGAGATGTACTTTCTGATACATCATCCTTCCGAAGGTTCAGAAACGATTCTCGAGTTATTTGAAGGATCTCTCTCAAGCCTTTGTTTTCTTGCTATAAGGAGGCAAGCAAAAATAGAGTTGCAGTCTTTATCTGTAAGACGGCAAACCTTCTTTAAAAATCTAATCATATGAACGTATGACAGAACATTCTGTAGTTCGCATAAAAGTACTAAGTGATATATACAGTTGACAACCTGAATCTAAACAAAACTTCAAAGAGGTGGAACTGTGACTGTGCTCAGTTGCTTCTACCACATTAAATCCTTAAGGAAGCAAATGTGACATGAAAACTCAGAAATTGCCTTACTTTATAATCCCACTAGAGAAGAAGAAAATAACATCTCGATTTACATTCATGCAACTCATAAAACTAGTGAATAACATCCTAAGAGCAGAACCTCTCAGTACATTAGTACTCTTAATACAGTAGCATGGAATACAGGACAAGCCATGGTGTTTGGTTCCCTCCCTGGAATTTGAGAGCAGCAGGGCTGGCCCAGTGGGTGATATTTTTCAAGAAGGAAAGTAAGTGAACACATCTGGTGCTATGAACCAGTGTCCCCTTTTTACCCCTTCTACATTAATTACTGTAAGAAATTTGCAGGTGTTTAAAAGAGACCTTTCGTTATTTATTCTCTTCCATTAACATCAATTTCTAAAATGGTATAAAACAGGTATTAGGCCAGGTAGGGTGGTGCATGCCTGTAATCCCAGCACTTGGGAGGCTGAGGCAGGAGTATCACCATGAGTTTGAGGCCAGCCTTGGCTACAATAGTGAGTTCATGGTCAGCCTGAACTGCATAGCAAGACCGTATCTCAAAACAACAACAACAGAAAAACAAAAAACAAAAAACCCAAAGGGATTACCCTGGACTGAGGCCTGTGGCTTCTTTTGCATTACAGTGGCAAAACTGAACTAGGTACAAACTGCCTAGTTTGCAAAGTCGAAAATACTTATTCTGGCCTTTTATAGAAAAAGTCTGTCTACTCTTCTTTTTTTAATTTTTTTTTTTTTATTTTCAAGAGAGTAGTAAATGAGAAACAAAGAAATAGAACAATAGCAGCATACCAGTATCACAAACATAAACAAATCAAAGCAAGAACATGCAAAGCGATAGTTTGTCTACTCTTGTACAGACAGAAGAACACTGTACATGCTCAGACAGAAATCATTTCTGGCCCTCTGTAACCAATTTCCTGACCATCATTTTAAAATGAAACTTACATGAAAGTCTATTCTTCTGACCTGAGCTATTCAACAACTTGTACCTCTGCTATCATAAAATAGAGAAGAGACAAAGGCTTTTACAGTTCTCAGAAAAATAAGCACTTGCAAAAAATATCACCTGTGGATTAAAAACTATTTCCCTGCAGTGCTGTTGTCTTTACTAGAAGGGATGACTTTTTCTAAATTATAAAATTGAAGAAGTACATTCATTTAGTAAAAAGGCAATACATGAACAAAAACCAACTTTCTCAATTTCTGGTGTTAGTTGCTAATGATCCTAGACTCTTGCACTCCTCTATAAATGGTCTTGCAGTGTAAGCCCATAAAAACAGCAGCATCCAGGGTAAGAAAAAGGGAGATGGGAAAAAAGCAGCACCAGGACATATCATGCAAAAGTACAAATTCCCTATGATGGATGTGATCATTATATGTATCTAAAATGTACCAATTAATAAAAAAGATTTGAGTAGATTTCAAGAATATTTATATTCCAAAATTACAGCCAACCCAAATTAAACGTTTTCTGAATAGCTAAAGCAAAACAAATAAACAAACCCCACAGCCAGGTGTGGTGGTGCACACCTGTAACCCCAGCACTTGGCAAGCTGAGCACTTGGGAGGACTGTTGTGAGTTCAAGCCAGCCTGAACTACATGGCAAGACCCTGTCTCAGAAAAAAAAAAAACAAAAAAACAACCCAGTACCCTAGAAAAGCATGGCATATGTTTTCTGCTGTAAGCTGCATGGACAGTTTTCACCCACAGGTACAGCGTAAAACCTACCTCAAGTTGAAATATTCTTTCTTGTTCCTTGCAACCCTGCTGCTCGTCGATTTCAATGGCTTTCCTCATTACTGCTGCCATTTCAGTTATCTGGTCAACATGTGCCTGTAACTCCTGAAAAGAAAGGACGACAGCTGGAAATCAGAGAAACACTTTATTTTTCCTTCTGGGTCCTTTTCTTTTTATAAAATCTGCAGTGCCACTTGACATGAATGTAATATTCTCTGTTTATTTTGAATGTAATATTCTTACATTGTAGGAATATAATATATATACTCTGATATATAATATGTATCCTGTTATAATATATAACAGGAACATAATAGATCACAACAACATTTGTTGACTATGATGTGCTTTTTACATTAGATTTCTATTAGGACTAGAATTATGGTCAGCAGTATAATCTAACCACACCCAGCTGCAAGGAATTTTCTCATTTCACATTCCTCTCACCACAATGACCAGCAACTCTTTTTTCTTTTTTTGCACCTAAATATACTATTACCATAATGGGAAAGATAAAGATTATTGACAAATTTAATCTCTTTTCTTCTCTGAAGTCTTCACTGTTTATAAATCTTTTCCATATCATCCATGCCTATAAATTAATTCCAATCCAATCTAGAACGTTTCCTACGCTGTAACACTCCTGAGAGGAAGTATGTCCTGTTTATACCCGTTAGTCAATATTATGCCTATTATTTAATGTTTGGTAGGTAGCAAATATTGAGTAAAATGATCAGAATTCTGTTCTTAAGTATTAAAATATTAAGTGGCCTTCTTTGCCAACTGTTGAAAATATAATTTCAGTGTGTCAGATGGATACATTTTTCCATTCTCAATCCTTAGTTTCTGCACACCTATGACAGGCAAAAACAGGAATATAAGCAACAGGAATAGAAAGCTTTAAGATACATTCTCTGACCTGAAGGAGCTTATACGCTAGTGAGAGACAGATAAGAAAGGTGTAAAAATCAACAGAAACTTGAGAATAACCTTCTATCCGTAAACAGTATCTACATGCCATTATTCATTGGCAGTGAAGATCAGTTTATTCTATTAAGCCAAAATTTAAGTTTATAGTGAATAAAAAAATTCCTCAACCAGTTATCAAGTCTCTAAAATAGCTGTACACATTTTCTTCTTGTAAAAAAAATTGGAACAAGGCCTCAGAAGACCTACAAAACTATTACACTAAAAGAAGTGAAGGAAAAAACAGCTCTTTTTTTGTGGTGCTGGGGTTCAAATCCAGGGCCTTGCATATGCTAGGCAAGCACTCTACCACATAGCCACACCCCCGGCCCTATTTAATAATTTTGAACAAAACTGCCGGTCCTTATTTTACTTCTTTTGGTGTTGGGGACTGAACCCAGGGCCTTGAGCGTGCTAAGCACACACCACGGAGCTATTCCCCTACACAACTGGAGCACTTTGGAAGAAGGCACAACAAAAGACATCTGTGCTACCCACTACAGTGCTATTAAAATTAAAATCAAATATACTTTAAAAGTCCAAGGGGCTGGGGATTTAGCTCAGCAGCACAGTGCCTGCCTGGCAAGTGCAAGGTTGTGAGTTTGATTCCCGGTACTGGAAAAAAAAAACCAAAAACCAAAAAAACAAGAAGTCCATCCTTCAGTCACACTAGTGACACTTGTTAGTGCCGACGGCCACATCTCACAGCACAGAGGACATTTCCCTCCTTTAGAAAGTTCATCAGTTTTGGATTAGATTACAATAGCAAAAAATGATATCAAGACAAAATGTGCCATGTTCTGTAACAGTTAAATATCATTAAACTCCCTCCCACTGTAAAGGGAACATAATGCTTAAAAGCATGTAAATACGGTAACTGCAAAAGCAAACTGAACGTGCAATGAATTAAAATTTTAAATACCAAGTTTTCTAAACTTGTGATTCGGTCAGTTCTGTGGCTGAAAAACAGGCTTAAAAACTACATAAGCAGCAAGTACTTCTTTGCCCTTAAGATGAAAGAAAGAACTAATTCTTTAGGGCACAATCTGTTCTAACAAGATCAACACATGAAAAAACCTAACAGTTCAATTACAAAGTATTTTATAGGCCCAGTTAATGATTCATTTAACTAAAAATCTTTAGAGAAGAATCACAGAATTTTTAATGGGAACAAAAGGTAAGAACTGTGATTTTAAAACTGCCACGAGGTAAGAAATGTCAGCAACATAACCCTTGAACTGTACTGAAATGCCTTTGACTTCTAACTTACATCTAGGTTGATTTCTACTTTACTCAGTAAAAGACCTTCCACGACCTACTTCTTCTTTAAGTTAAAAACACAATGAGAGCAGTACCACACTCAATTATAACGTCTAAACAAAAGGCATTTTGGCCTTATAGGCCAAAAAAAATCTAAGTAAAAACATTTCATTAATAGTTTGATTGACCAGGATCTTTATGATTCAGGCTAAATTAATGCCAAGAAAACAGCACTAATGTCCAGAAAGAGAGTAACTATTCTGCAGAAACAAAATTGAGAGCAATAGCTAACAAGGTCTAATAAATAAAGAGGTGGGCTACCTGTTGTTTAAAATCTATGGTCACACATGAGATCATGTATGACACAGAGGATCAGTGACAAATTTAAAGTTTCCCACTGAACAGGCAGGGGTATCAAAAGCACAACACTCTTTTAACTGATTTATTGGCTGATCTAATCTGGGACAGAACTTCAAAGTAAAAGAACTTTTTAAATGGGCCCCCCTTCCATCCACACCCCAAAGTTGACTGTTTTTTAGGGTACATTCTGATTGGCTTCCAAGTGCCTCCTCTCGAGTCCATGCTGAGGTGCTTCAAGGATGTGTCGAGATGCAGCAAGGAAGAATCCTTCGGAGTTGTTACGATGTACCATGTCAATCTGTAGTACAGAGTCATCATAATGTTAATACGGATATTATCCGTAATTTAAGAACTGAATGAGTGTTAGTTCATGCGTGTTAGCCAACTGTTCAAAATGTTTGTTTTTTTAAGATTTCCAAAAAGGCATCTGTTAAAAATGATGTAAAAATAGGCCTTGGGATAAAAATAAATTTTATTAATCTTATTCATTTATCTTTGTCTTTTTGAGATAGGGTTTTACTATGCAGTTCAGGCTGACCTTGAGCTACTTTGTAGGCCAGGCTGGCTTTGAATTTGTAGCAATCCTCCTGCCTCAGCCTCCTGAGTGCTGGGATTACAGGTGTGTGCCACTACACCTGGCAGTTCTATTAATTTTAAAGTGTGAACTCAAAAACTTCTAAGTGAGAACAAAATTCTGTATTATAGTAATTTTGAAAGGAACTCTTACTCCAAAATGGTGCTCTATGCAATTCTGTTGCCTCTAAGTGTGTTATAAAATTGTTATTCTGTTTAGGCTTATCAGAGTTCTAGTACCTAAACATATCCTAGAATCTATCCCACATTTTTGTACCTTCATCTTGTTTCTGCTTAACCATTTCTGCTTACTGAACCTAGTTCCCCTAATTAATTGAAGACTGGATTAGATTAATTTTCTTTCTTTCTTGACCTTTCTAGCTGCTCCTCATGAGAATACTGCTCTCTTAATATGAGAGTAGCAATTCATATTTCTACCACTTCACATTAGCTGTGTCTGTATCTCCTAAAACACTGCATGCTTGTACAGTAATACAATTTATTCACCTCGTAATCACCCATAACAACTAACCCAGCGCAAGTGTTAATAAATGTTTAACTGAGCCAAAGTATCTCCTTTTTGGGAAAAATCAAAATCACAAACATTAATATGTATTAGTTAGGATTAATAGCAAGTAACTGAATAGTCATTTTATGGAAGGCAAGGTGAACTCAATTTATATAATGAAATGGATAGTTTTTAGCTATCTTAGGAAATGTTTAACTTTGCTAATTATAGAACAGCTCTGGTGAATATGCCATCTAATGCATTTTATTCAATTATTCATTCATTATTTCTGGTGCTGGGGGGCCTCATGCATGCTAAGCACTTGCTTTATCACTGAGCTACACCCCAGGGCCCCAGTGTGTTTTAGAAAATATTTTCTCTGCCATAGTTCCTACTAGATGGGACTAACAAGCTGCATTATGTTATTTTAAGCACTTTTTAGTCATGGTATTCTTCCCTTTAAATCTCAAATTTTCATTTTTCAAGTTATAAGGGCCTTTTGAAATGTCTGAAGATTATATGTATCCTGGCAATAATTTTAAGTCAGCTCCTCTATAGCCCTTTATACATTTAACTATAATGGTCTCATTAATAACGTATTTTATATTCAAAAGATCATCACTTAGAGATTGAAGAACTTCCATTTGGTAAAGACATAAACATTATAATCAGACACTAAACCCAATTTTAATCATTTATTATTTTAATAGTTGAGACAAAAACCACCTATTAAGTTCCCTAATATGTAAAGTCGTCACACAAAGAGCTATTTCCTAGGCATTTAATTCTAACAGAAGTAATAATCATCTAAAAACTGTAAGTAACAAAATGGAAGGTATATTTTAAACAGTCTAAAACATGGGCAGGGATGTAGCTCTGAGGAAGAACACTTGCCTAATATGCGTGAGGCCCTAGGTTTGATCCAGCACGACGGAGAAAAAAAGGAAGAAAAGAGAAAGAGAAATAGGAAGGGGGAGGAGTGCCTAAAATGTGTTTCAATAACTGAGAAAGATAAAACTATGTCTTATAACAATCACTATTCTTATTAGTAATAACTCCCTGTTACTCACTGACATGATGGTCTATGCATCATCTAGTTATTACTGAAATGTAGTCCAACGTTTTTATTTCATACCAGCAATTAAAATTCAGTTTAAAATGTAACTGTAAAAGATCACTCTACTCGTTTTCCTAACAAACACGGGACATACCAAAGGGAACATACACAGGAATGACAACGAGTGGCCAAAAAACACTAGTAGTTTCTAACCACGTCATCTCTGTCTAAAAACAGATATGGTATGTAATACTGGGGGAGAGGGCAAATTTTAATAGGGTACTTTTTCTCTCCTCTAGCTTGTGGTTATTCCACTAAAATCAGGGTCATTAATAGTCTGGATGAATTAGTTTCATTCAGAAATCTGGGTTAAGAAAAAGAATCTAGGGCTGGGAATACAGCTCAGCGGCACAAGCACCTGCCTGGCAAGCACAAGGTCCTGAGTCTGATTCTTGGTACCAAAAGAAAAAAGGAAAAAAGAAAAGAAAAGAAAAAAAAATCTACATGTAGTTACTTTCAGACTGTAAAAAAGTTTTTAGCAATTCAATTTTTGTTTTGCAATCAGTATCATTACACAAATTTCTTGGAAGACCTACTTTTTAAAAGCAGATAATCTTATAAAAATAAATTTGAATTGAAAAACTTACCTTTATTTCCCAAAGTTTATTTTCTAATGTAAATTGTATACATTAGAGTGTCTAACAGTAAGTGTTAGAAGAATAAAACAGTAAATGATATATAACAAACAAGAAATGAATGAAAGAAAAAGGAAAAAATGTCAATTAAAAAGATGAAGTGTTCAGTACCAGGTTAAAATGGTATTACTAAATATCTGACTCTTTCTTTTTAAAAATCTAGTCACAAATTAACCAACTGGCCTCTTTTCCATCTCAAATTCCCATTTCCAGAATGTATTACCTTGGAGTGCTGTTCTTTTAGCTTCATTATTATACCCGGATCATCTTTTTTGCTAGCCATTAGCAATCTAAACATTTGTTCTCGATACTTGCTCATTATAAGTTCCAAGGCAGACTGATGTTCTTCCAGGGATGTACGCAATTCTATCAAGAATAACAGTGTATTTTATTCAAATTTAATTTAAAGGTACATAACATATTCTTTTCCATATTATATTTATCAAAACACCAACTGTTTTTTTAAAAAGAAAACATGATCCACAAAAGTCTAGCCATGTAATGTAAAAGGTCATCAAATTAATTTCCTAATTACTTTTTTTAAATGGTCATTTTATTTATTCATTTATTACAGCGCCTGGCTAAGTAGATCAGGCTGTCCTCAAAGTCACTACCCTCCTGCCTCAATCTCCCAGGTGCTGGGATTACAAGAATGCACCACTATACCTGGTTTATACTCACTTTTAAAGAATCATTTCAACATTTACTGAATAGCAATTAATTATCAGATAATGCTCCTGCTTATGAAGAATATTAAAGGTCATGGAACTTAGCGTCTAGCAAAGAAAATAACATGTAGTAAGTGCAGAGTGAAGAGCTATTCAAGTATACTTAAGAAGTCTGTGGAGAGAAATTGGTGAAAGCTTCATAAGGTATACAGTACGGTACTGAGATGACCTTAACTTCCATGGGCTGAAAAATGAAGGAATAACATTCTAAGCAAGGAGGCATGAAAGAGGACGATGTGTTAAGGATGGCAAGAACACGGGGTTCGTAGCAGAGCTGCGGGGATAAGGAAAGAAGGCTGGGCACTGACTTGGAAGGCTCTTGTATAAGGAAACAGGATACACTGCAAGTTCTTAAGCAAAAGAATAGCATGACCAGATTCATTTTTGAAAAATTAACCAGATGCTTGTGTTAAAGGCTGATGGACAAAGGTAAGAGACCAGAGTCAAGGAAGCCAATGAGGACGCTAGACACAAAAAATGACGAGTGCCTAAGCCAAAGCAGTGGGACTGAAGAAAATGAAGCTGAGTTATTTCATAGGTATCAGCAATGGAGTAAAATGGATATTGAGGATTAGAATCTAAGATAATACCAAGCACGGCACACATTCATACCTAAGACAGGATAACCAGTAATAAATGCAATTTAGGCATATGGAATAGAAATGAGATTATTATGAAAAAGTAACTTCAGATGGCAGTTTTTCTACCTTGGAAAATATTAATTAATCCCAAACCAATAGCATAACTGCAGATTAAAATTCTCTTTTGAAATGCTCTACATAGTAATAATAGATCTTACCTTTGTTTTCTTGTTGCAATTCTCTGATTTGTCTATTTTCTTGCTGGATTCCCATAACTAATGTAGACCGTGGTCGATGTCTTGCAACTTCATTAAGTTCTTGAATTTCTTCTTGATACTAATAAAAACATTAAAAAAGAACATGAGGGGAGAAAAATATTTGCAAATTTTTATCTCTGAATAAATATAAATAAATGAACAGACCCTCCAAAAGTTAAGAGGTATTAAGTGACCCATCCATTCTGCTCCTATGAGCCCAAGAGAGCTGAAATCCTATAAATAAATGATGTCAAGCAAGGCAGACATTCACATGTAAGACAGGATAAACAGTAATAAATCCTATAAATAAATATTCATAGTAGCACTATACATTATAGCTGAATGGATATACACAATGTACTGCACCTTTCAATGCAGTATTATTGGGCAATAAAAGCAAATGAAGTACTGATACACAGGTGAATCTTAAAAACATTCTGTTAAGAAGCCAATCACAAGAAGGTACATACTACGTTATTCCATTCATAAGAAAAATCCACAGATAAAAAGAATAGTGGCTGCTGGGGAGTGGAGGCTAGGGAGAGACCACTAAGAGATACAGGGTTTGGGATGATGAAAATATACTAGAATTAGACTGTAGTCATGGTTGTACAACCTGTGATTATACACTAAAATCCAACAAATTTTACAGTGCATGCATTAATAATAGAAAAATATGTGCAAAAAATGCAAAGATTTACTTCAAAAGCTAATAGAAAACCTAACTTTAAAATTACACTTATCAAAAAACCAATTAAAAAAGTAACATTACACTTATTTAGTTTCAAGGCATTTATTCCCATGAGACACTTAGGAATGGATTCATTTTAACACTCTTGGTTCTTTTCCTTTTCATTGGCTGATAGGAAGATTGAACCCAGACAGCCCAACCAAATCCTTGACTACTTATTTATTATTTGTAATGGATTGACAACTGGTGGTCAATTTATAACCCCTAACTGAACTGAGTAAGCATGGTGCTGGGTGTGGGACGCCCACCTGAGGATTGCTGTCAGCAGCACATGAGGCAGAATTGCAGAAGTGAGGCTGTTGGGGGCAGAGAAAGGCTGTTGGGACCTGGTAGAAGCTGTAAGGAGCTGTTGGCTCTGTTGGAGGAGCTTATCATGCTGGCTTTCCTAATGAACTTGGCTGTTTTCATACTCCAAGGAGCTCGAGACCTTGTTGGCACTGAGAATAGCTCGGTTCACTTTGGGGGAGCTCCGGTCCTCACTTTGAGCATCGCTTCCTGGCTCTGGAGGGCAACATGGTGCACTGCTGGTCTCCTGGAGAAGCTTGCTGCGTTGGCTTTCCTGATGGGAACTCAGCTGTCTTCACCAATGGAGAAACCTGGGACCTTACTATTGCTGAGGATGGCTGTAGTTTTCAGAGGAGCTCTGGTTCTTACTTTACGCACTGCTTCCTGGCTCCAGGATAGTTCCCTCAACATGCTAGTACCGATTCTTCATCCCGCTGGCACAGACTTCCTAGATTCCACCACTGACCTTTGGGCCTTCGGGGCAGATCTGTGAAAAAGGGCTGCATAAGATATTGTTATGGGCTCTAGGCCTCCAGCTAGACTTGTGGGAGGCACTATTATGAGCCCTGGGTCTTCAGCTGGACTCATGCAGGACATTTCTGTAGGATCCAGGCTGTTGGCTAGATTCCTTGGTCTTTGTGTGTGGACAAATTTCTTGCACCCTTTTGTATAGCATTCTTTGGGTGACTATTATAAATAATCTTATACTTGATCTTAGCCAAAAGGCCGAGAAGTGATTATAAATAATCTTATAAAATATGTGTCCTGTATTGTATTGTTCCCCTTGCAAAATATCCCCCAAACCATAATAAAATTGGTACCAGGGTTACTGTTGTGATGTTGCCTGGCCATGTGACTTAAGAACCTTTGGAATTAATTTGGAAATGTTTTGAGAGACTGGCCAAAGAGGCAGCCCTTGTATGCTGCAAACTAAATTGGAAACTCTCATTGGAGCCTGGAAAATCAGAGGACTGATGCTGCCAAATGAGATGAAGCTCAGGAGGCTTGAACTGAGAAGGACTGCATTGGCTGCTGGATCCCAGGTAGCATATTGTGCTTTGGCAGAAGTTGGTCTGCATTTTGCTTGTTTAGAGATACCGCCTGGTTGGAGAAACAAAATTTCAATGTAGTCTGTTGTTGGATGCTGGCATGGTTATTGTTCAGAGCTTTTGGCCAGACTTATGTTTGAAATTAAGAGCAAAAAGCCAGGAAAATGGTATGAAACATCCGGCCAGAGGGGTGGCTCTGATGGCGCTTTGGGTTGCAAGGATGAAATGGAGGAAAATGTGATTGCGAAGAACAGGACAATGAAAAAATGAACGGAAGCCTTTCACCTGAAGATAAGAGTGTATTTGAATTGCAGGAGATCCCTATTTTTTAGTCTTGCCATGCATTGTAAAAATTTTTTACTTTATTTTTTTGTTTTGTTTTGTTTTTTTGAGACAGGGTCTCACTATGCAGTTCAGGCTGGCCTTGAGCTCACTTTGTAGCCTAGGCTGGCCTTGAACTTGCAACGATCCTTCTGCCTCACCCTCCTGAGTGCTGGGATTATAGGCGTGTGCCACCATGCCCGGCCATGCATTGTAAAAATTAACAGGAAGTAAGGACTGTTATTGTAATAGTTCTTTTAATGTTTTTATGTTTTTAAATATATGTTTGTAATCAGGTTAATTACTCAAAGTATTGTCTTTTAGCCTTGAATTTTGGTCACCCTTTGAATATTGTTTTTGGTGCAGGAATGAGTGCAAAAAAAAGAAAGAATTGCATATATGTAACTGTTATATTAACGTAAATGTATACAGACCAAGACATGTTAATTTTCACAAGTCTGCCACTGAAGACTATGAATTAAGAAAACGTGTATGGTTATCTAGTTGACCAGGGGTGGACTGCAGCGGATTGACAACTGGTGGTCCATTTATAACCCCCAGCCGAACTGAGTAAGCATGGTGCTGGGTGTGGGAAGTCCACCTAAGGATTGTTGCCAGCAGCATAAGTGGCAGACCTGGAGAAGTGAGGCTGCTGGAAGCAGAGAAAGGCTTTGAAGAACTAAAAGGCTGTTGGGAACTGAGAAAGACTGCTGGGAGCTGAGGGAGGCTATTGGGAGCTGGTAGAAGCTGTAAGGAGCTGTTGGTTCTGTTGGAGGAGCTCGTCACGCTGGCTTTTCTGATGAACTTGGCTGTTTTCATCCTCTGAGGAACTCAGGACCTTGTCCGCACTGAGAACAGCTTCGGTTTACTTTGGGGGAGCTCCGGTCCTCACTTTGAGCATCGCTTCCTGGCTCTGGAGGGGAACATGGTGCACTGCCAGTCTCCTGGAGAAGCTTGCTGCATTGGCTTTCCTGATGGGAACTCAGCTGTCTTCACCAGTGAAGGAGCTTGGGACCTCACTGTTGCTGAGGATGGCTCTGGTACTTTTCAGGGGAGCTCTGGCTCTTACTTTGCACATCACCTCCTGGCTCCAATGTAGATCCCTCAACCTGCTAGCACCGATCCTTCATCCCGCTGGCACAGATTTCCTAGATTTCATCACTGACCTTTGGGCCCTGCCAGAGCAGAGCCGTGAAACAGCCCTGCATGCGACATTGTTATAGGCTCTAGGCCTACAGTTAGACGCGTGGGAGGCACTGTGATGAGCTCTAGGTCTTCAGCTGGACTCATGCAGACATTTCTGTGGGATCCAGGCCATTGGCTAGATTGGTCTTAGTGTGTGGACAGATTTCCTGCACTCTTTTGTATAGCACTCTTTGGGTGACTATTATAAATAATCTTATAAAGTATGTGTCCTGCTCTTTTCGGTTTTTTTTGTCTTTTTGAGACAGGGTCTCACTATGTAACCCAGGCTGGCCTTGAATTTGCAACGATCCTCCTGCCTTAGCCTCCCGAGTGCTGGGATTACAGGCGTGTGCCACCACGCCTGGCTGTGTCCTGTATTATACTGTTCCCCCTTGCAAAATATCCCCCAAACCATAACATCATTATTATTATTATTAGTTTGAGACAGGATCTCACTAAGTTGCCCAGGCTGGCCTCAAAGTTGCAATCCTACTTCAGCCTGTGGAGTATCTAGGATTATAGGCATGTGCTGCTGGGGCCAACACATTCTTGGTTCCTGACTTCAGATGTCAGACTCTACTTTTTTAAAAAAAAAAAACAAGTCAATACAGGCACATATTCACTGGACTGCCTGAGTTGAACTGCAGTTAGAGAGGTAAGTAATCTGTTTAGGACAACATAGTTGCATAACAGACCGAATAAATCTGTTCCACTATTTCCATAGTTTTTTCAATAGCATTAATCCCAGGGTTGCTTCCTTTCTTTATAAGATGAGTAAGTTTCAAGCCAGCTGGGAGGATTTTCCCGTCTAATTTCTATTACAGTATCTCAGAGACCACACAGTTTTCTTAAGAGTTGAACGTTTTTATCTGAGGAAGGCTTACACTGCATGGCCCACTAGAATATTCTGTTACACAGAGTAGAGCAAGAAGTATCTAAGAAGCATTTAATAAGAAGTGAAATGCATTATTTTTTTTAAATTGACAACATTAAATTAAAAATAAAGTAGGGGACTGGGGATTTAGCTCAGCGGCATAGTGCCTGCCTGGCAACCGCAAGGTTCATGAGTTCAATTCCTGGTTACAAAAATAAAAAATAAAAATTTAAAAATAAGGTAGAAAGTATAAATGCAATATCTGCAGAGGGTAC